GCTTCTTTTCACTGAATAATCTGTGGACTCTTTGTTTCGCAAAAAATTTTTTTTGCTTTTTTTTTTGAATTACGGCATAGCTTCGTCTGCTTGGAATGGGTCCAGAAGCGTAAAATCGATTTTCGCGCCATTTTGCGCCATTTTTTTATTTGTTTTTACAATGTATCATAATTTTTTGGCTTAATTCCAATGCTTTTTGACGGCTCTTGCTTGAAATAACTGTCAATTTTCGACATTTTTGCCTTTTTTCTGCAGTAACAGATTTGTCGCTGGCCTAAGATGAAATAAGGCGAAGGGAGCGAGGAAGAACTACTCCCTGTTCTGGATAGTCCGTCAAGTTCAGGCTGTGGAACAGCCTGATATTTTCCATTGGAACCATCCTTTCAAAATTGCTGTTATGTGTTTTTGTTTTGCAGGAACAAGAAGCAGAACCGGATGACGATGAGATCGAGGGTAATCCGGCGTATATCCCGAAATCGGGTCGTTACTACATGCACGATTTGAGGAATACGGATGAAGAAAATGTCCAGGAACAAGCACCACGTTCACGAGCCGATGGACAATGGAAACATGACCGCTATGATGAGCGTGCACAACGGCCCAAAACTAGACGGGAATTGGTGAATCGCTACGGGTACGACATACGGCATGAGGTATGTGTTGCCTTAAACTAGTTGATTTGGATTTTGCGTGCCCCTACCAAAGCGAAATGTAAGTTGATAGCCAAGCAAGAGGTGACTTAAGAACTAAAGACTTACGATTAGAGCTAAAGATCTACGATCACTTATTGCTTTTTTTCTCACGAATACTTCGTTAGTTAACCTGTGGACTCTTTTTTTTTTTGACGAGAAGCTACGACCCACCCTAATTGAGGCCTTTTATTAAAATCTTTTTGTTTAATTCATGAGATGAATTATGTCACATCAGAATTAATTGCTTCCACTTGCCCCTCTTTCTACCGTTTTTTTATGCGTTTTGTGCTGTGTAACAGCGTTACAAAACGCATATTGTCACGGGGTTGTCTGTATGTGTGTGTTTATGTGTGTGTCCCACATTTTGTCCCGCACTTTCAACTCGGGAACCACAAAAGCTAGGCGGCTGAAGTTTTAGCGTAGTACTCTCCGCCAACGGGTGACGCGGCAAATTTAAATTCAGCCTTCCCGTACCTGCGGGTAACTCGTACGGCATCCCTGCCAACAGGTGACGCGGCAAATTTAAGCCTTCCCGTACCCGTGGGTAACCCGTACGGCCCCGTGAAAGTTTTTTACGGGTAAGTTAATATCTCAGGAACCATGGAGTCTAGGAGACTGAAATTTTACGGTAATGACCCCCTGCCCACGCTCAACCATGCCTATTCAAATTCAGCCTTCCCGTACCCGCGGGTAACTCGTACGGCCCTGTGAAAGTTTTTTACGGGTAAATCAATATCTCAGGAACCACGGAGTCTAGGAGGCTGACGTTTTAGGGTATAACTCCTTGCCCACGCTCAATTTTGCCTATTCAAATTCAGCGTTTCCTCGCTGTTGAGTATCACCTACGGCCTCGTGAGAATTTTGGCGGCTAAACTGTAAACAAGGGAATCACGGAAAGATATTCACCCTTCAAGGTTTCGAACTCAGCTTTCATGCGCTGGTGCGTGAA